GTGTTGTACTCTACAAAGTCAGTGAAAGGATAAAGAGTCAAGCCCCCAGTTGAGCCTGGTAATTATTCTAACAAAACATTCATGAAGAAAGCAATTGCTCTTCTTCAAGCCTGTTGTAACAATTGCTGAAGAGAACAGACCAGACAGAAGACTAAAGGGTTGAGCTAAAACAAGGATAGAAACAATAAAGGAACTGTTCACCCCAACGGGGGAATATTGTCATAATTGTCTGAGGTTCATAAGCAAAAATAACTACTTCAGTCTTATTATCAGGAAATAATTTAATTCAGCCACAGGGTAGTTCATAAACATACAATGAATCAATTTAACATTTGGAAAATAAGGCACAATTAAGTCTTCACTCTACCATTAGTTGCCCAGGAATGATATTGAATGTGTCTCTTCTTCTGGACTATAATGTATGGACAGTCAGTACCCATGTAACTGTTTCTGTAGGCTTAACAGGATTTGTTAGCAGTTATACATATGCCTGAAAATAGCAAAGAACTCTGCTTGCCTTTAGCCAGCCTGTTCTTCCAGAATAGATAGAATTCAAATGTGAATGTTTAGTCACAAATTCTGATGATGTATCTTTGTCCTTCATGACTCTGGAGTGACAGCAACGATTATAACACTGAGTGCTTTCGAAGGAATGGCCTTCTGTCTTCCTTTCAGCTTTGCCTCGTCCATATCAAAGTTACAAATGTATTATAACTACTTTTATGAAATAATACTAAGAAAATGATCTCACATTTTGTCCAATTCTTTACCTTCCCTATATCTTATGTCATTGCTAAAGACTAGCTTAGTGTACTGATAAAATATGTGGATGTGGCAGCAGACAGGCACCACTGGAAACTTCTAAACCCTCTTAAGCTTCCAGATTGCTCAGCTTATTTTTCAGTGAATAAATTGAACAACGCTTGGTAATCTTTGGAAATGCTAAGTACTCCATTCACGTTGGTCATTTTAATATTACACTTTCTCTATGCAAATAGCTTGCTTACTCAGTGGAACTGTCTACACTAATAAAGACAGAATTTTATTTTTAAACCATAAAAAGCTAGTAGAACCAAGGGCCAGCTAAATGGTGACCATGACAGAAAACCACAACTAGTTAAAATGCAAAGGGAAAGTGATTGTGTGGTATACAGTCCTGATTGATAGACATACAGCACAATTCTTGTCCCTAAGGCTCAAAGAACATCTCAGAAGATTGGGTAGAAAGACTGTAAAACTCAATAGACCAGGAAATCTATTGTGAGAAGTATCTTCTAGAAATGACAAAGTAGCTTCATGTATAATGAATGTATAATAATTGACACTATAATACCTGTAATTCCTTGTATTCCGATATACATCTAGATTTACTCATAACCACCTTACTTCTTAAAATTGTTGGAATTTTTTTGTAATTAATAGAAAAAACTGAAAAGATTTCACTTTGAGTAGACAGCAAATGCTAGTGACCGTCATCATCAACAATAAGAAGTAAAGGGAATAAAAGAACTAATCCTGTCTCTCCTTGGGTAAACCAGATGTACTGTACACATTCTGGCAGTACATATGAAGACTTGATTTGAGGAATCACAGGACACTAAACTCTATTTTTAGAGGTGGCAACTCCCGAGAAAAGAAATCTGAACATGTTGACCATGATCTGATTCTATAGAGAGCAGTGCAGCCCTTTATTGTGCCTGGGAGTGATCAGTATGACCATCGATTTTCATTTGACAAGCGAAGAATGGAAACACTGCTGTTAAGGACACCAGAGTAACAATTTAACTCCAACAGTATTGATTGTATTGTGACCATGTGGAAAAGCTCTAGGCTTAATGGTGGAGAATGGAAGAAGAGAGGATAAAGATAAGGAAGAAAGTGAGACAAGCACCTCACCTCACCTCACACTAATGGGCTGAGGATGTCTGAATGAGGGTGAGATTAAAGGGAACTAAAGGGCTGTAATAAAAGTGAAAATCCAGAGGTTAAGAGGACAGATATGTGAAGAAGGTCTGGTTTCAACTTTGTAGAGTGAGGCGGATTTAGTAAGAAGACTTACTTGTGCTGGCACACACACAAAATTAATAGGATTTTAGTAGGCATGAAAGATGCCAGAATGAATGACAGGATAAAAAATCTTCAGAATAACTGGAAAAGAGGTGTGAGCAACAGTCAGGGAAACTGAGTAGTGGGGCATAGGGATGACCAAACATTTAAGGGTTTTGAGTAATATAAAGAATAACAGCAGCGATCTCAAGAATAGCATTAGGAGTATACTGATGGCCAACACTTATTTGCCCAGAGCAGGCACCCACTAGGCACTTCATGCTATCTACAGTATGTGAGACAAACATGGTCACTCTTCAAGGTAAGTGTCATCTGTTTTCTCTTGTCAGACAAGTTAGGGATATCACCACTTGCACTGTTAAATAACAGTAACATACAAAATTAGAATTTCAATGGATTTAACTCCAAAGATTCCTGTACTTCACTCATATGAGTATGTTCTCACTCATCTGAATACCACTATGAAACCATATAATCCATCTTTTCTGCATATGTACAACTCATTGTCTACTTTTTTCTATCTTTTGTAGCAGATACCATAATATATTCCAAATTTAGTATATATTGCACATGTGATTAAGAGTTTATAGGGTAGACCTAAACTATAATATATGATATGAAATGTAAATAAAATATTCCAATAAAAATTATAAAAAAAAGAAAAACCTATAATATATGACATAATGTCAGATGAGAAAGCAAAGTCTTGTCTATAAAGCCCTCCCTATAATGAAAAGGAAGTAGATTATGCCTCAGCTCCATTTTCATCTAACTACCAACTAAGATAGTCAGAGGGTATCAATGCTACTAGCATAAAAAGAGTGGACCCAAGGAATGTTCAGACAAGCAAATTGAGTTTGGGCTCATTCTTTACTGTCATGCATCTCAAATCATAGGAATGAAAAATTTGGCATAATCCAGAAAACTTTGAAGTAAGGAGAAGGCAACCACGTAAACTTATCAAAGAAATCTCTGTTCAGAGCTATGCCTCAAACATCAAGTCTACCTTCACTGGAATATGACCTCGTTTCTAGAATAAATTTTTAATTTATATTTATTTATGTATATGTATAGAAGTGTGTGTGTGTGTGTGCACTCATGCATTTGTGTGTGTAAGCATGCATGTGCGAGTGCAACTTATGTGTTAGTACTTGAGATCAGAAGAGTATATTCCATCCCTTGGAGCTGGAGATACAAATGGCTGTGAGCTGTCTAATGTAGGTGCTAAACAAATCAACAAACAAACAAACAAACAAATGGAAAAACCAAAAACACCTCAAGTCATCTGCAAGAGCAATGGTACTCTTAATCACAAAGGCACCACTCCAGCCTGTCGTAACTATAATATGCCAGTACATTTTCTATAACAAAAGTATGCTAAAAAAGTATGCTAACTACAAATTGAAAGAGTCTTTTTAATAACTAGTAAGGATGAGATGGCTCATAAGCTATACAGTTTGAAATTCTGGTCTTTGGAGCACAGTTAGGGATGCCAGGTTGAATTATGATGGGGATTTTGAGGTGTTATCCCTCTGGGACAGAAGTCATGTATGTGTGTAATCATTCCCCTCCAAGCAAGGAAGATGGCTGCAAGTCACTGTCACTCCAACTAATGGAATAAACTACCACCAGCCTAATGCAAAATCCTGCCCAAAGCTTTGGGTTCTACAGCTGGGACACAGCTACCTCAAGGCAATATTGCTCACAAGCCAACTAAAGCCTAAATGAATGTTTGGTTTTCATTTTTAAGGTCAATACAATTTCCACCGACCAACAGAAATAAAAGACTTAGCTCGATCTATTTCCTTTTCATTCCTTTACAATTTGTACATACTTTGTTATCTTAATAAATCTTCACTAATTATCAATTGTATTTCTAATGGAGTGAAAGACACAGTTTGTATGTATGGCAATATGTCTAAATAAAATGCTTTTTGTAAAAAATGTTGAAAAGGAGAACAGAGAGTTATAAGAGATATTTTTGAGCCTTTATTTTATATCCTTTATTCATGGTCCTGGAAATGAGAGCATTATAAAACAAAAATAATTATGAAGACATGCCATTTAACACTCAGCTATAGTCTGAAAGGATTACCATCTTTAGGATTAAACATTTCCAACAGTGCATACAAGGGATATAGGAAGGAAACACTGTTCAGGAGCTATATAGCAGAAACACTAGCAAATGCTTAGTAGAAACGGCTTGTAAATCATATACATGAATCATAGTAGTAGCTGAACTGCATATACAAAATTTTGATATCCTCTTTTAGAATAAGATCATGTCTAGTTCTTTTCTGTCCTTATGTAATTAGTCTCACCAACAAGCTTTTGTAATGTTATAGAACACTTGCAATAGTCAAATTCAGTTGTAACTACTTGTAAAACCATTTTATACTTTAAATAAATTCTACAATCTTTGCATAAGAGTTCAAGTGACCAGCATCCTTTTGGCTTGTGATAGAGTTGTTGTGGTTTTTCATTTCAAAGAGAATTATGATTCAAATTGGGGAGAATGACTAACTGGATCTTGCCCCATATACAGCTCTTCCAAACCATGCTTAGATGCAGAAAACTAATGGATGTCAGAATCAATGTTCTAACTTTTAAGCTGGATTCCTTCAATCATATAGTTTGTAAAGCACTCTTATTACGATATCTGACTGTGTTGCCCTAAGGATCGTTCTGAAACCAAAGTTCCCATTTGTTGTGTTACAGGAAAGCAATAGCTGTCCTTTATGACGTTCACTCAAATAATTTCATAGGTTTTCAAATGAATGTTGGAAGTCAACTTTGCCACATTTCAAAGGAAAAGGGAAACACCCTCAGCGATTTTTGTGTAGAAGGTAAGCCATCCTTTAGAAAATAAGGTTCAGACACTTGGTCCAGTAATGATAGATACTATTGTTTTATAAATGTTTTCATAGGCATGCTTTGTGAATTGTATTATGTTTTCAATTACAGTTTTTGAGCTTAAGGTTTTCTTATTAAACTAAGCCTTGTCCCATCAATAATCAGGAAAGTTTCCAGGCAGTTTCAATCAGAGCGAGTGTTAACACATCAGGAGTTGCAGGTTACAAAGTGCTGCTTCCTCCAATTGCTGAACAGCCTCTTGAGCATCTCCTTCAGTCTGAGTGTATGTGAGGAGCAGAGTAGTTTCTTGTTCTTCTCATTGAACACCTCTAACTCAGCCTTTCAGAGAGGAAATAAAGAAAATGGATGAAGGAATGGAAGCATACCAAAGCATGAAATCCATTTTACTTGCAGGCAAATATTACAGACATAATGGAATATTAAAATGGAAGTTTTGGCTGAAGCATCAAGACAATAATTAACACATTGCAAGGGAGGTGTTAGACCATATGTTGGATTCCCAAAGGAGGAATCTGAGAACCAGTTACTCATTTTTAAAATGCCATGCCACATCAAAGTTCTAGCATTAGAAATTAAGGAGCAGAACTTAGCTGGGAGAAGTTACTGATAATCTATGAATTCCACTGTAAATAATGCAAGTTCCTGCCCTCACCTCAGCCAGGGGACATTTCATAGGATGCACTGAAAACTTTAGTAAGAGCCCCTTGCAGCTTGATATACATACAGATTGATATTCACCTCATGTATGAAGGCCTAGTAACTGGTACCACAGTCTAACAGCAGAAGGACTCCTGATTTAGGAGCCATGTAATTACCTGAATATGATGGGGTTCAGAAAGAGTGAAGGTTTTCCATGGACCAGGTATGAGTATTTAATAAGAAGGAGTCAGAATTCCATAATCTATGGTTATACTCAAGAAGCTTGCTTGAGAAGGATAAAGAGACCTCAACAGAGTACCAAGGAGGGACCACTGGTTCCTTTTTATAATAGAAATGGTTGAAGCCATTAAAACAACTGGGGTGTGTGTAGCTTAACAGGCCACAACAGCAAAGCCCACAAGAAAAAAACAAATTTAAGCAAAACAGAAACAAACAAACAAAAGACCTCCAAATGAAGAGAAAACAATGAAACTACCCATAAGGAAGTCAGCTTTAATATCAAGCTGAGAGAAGGCAATGCTGCTCTAACACCATAGATCTTACCTGAAGAGCTTTCCTGCTTCCTTTCCTTTCCTTCCTAGTGCTCCAAAGGCAGAGAGGAGTTGATGTCAACTAACAAGGGACATTTCAGAGGCCTAGCTCCAGAAATGAAGGATAGACCAACTACTCCTTACCCAACAACATCTGCTTGCCTCTAGAAGGCAAGTTTGAGAGAAGAAATTTTATACCATTAAATAATGCATATGGTAAATATGGATTAGATTGAGTCAACATTCATATACAAAGGCATTTCTGAATGCATATATTCAGTATACCTAATAAGAATGTACAAATTTTTAAATGATCCAAAGATCCTAAATTCCTTAAGTATTAAAAGAACACACACGGAAAATTCCACGTTTGCCAACATGTCACAGGTCTCAATTAATATGCTTAAGCACTGAAAATATAGCTTACAATTATACCAAGGTTATGTCGATTAGGAGTACCTGAAACATATATATTTTTATGTATATGCTGTTCAAACCCCAGAATTATTTTGAATCACCACCTCCCATCTTCCAAATCAACCCAAACATTGGGAAAGCGTTCCAGCATTACTTTTATGAGAGAGTCTAAAAAGGTTTTAAGACTGCTTAAACACACAGCAAGAAGCAAGGAAAGAGAATTTGTTTCAGAAAGTATATACTTACAAATATTTAAGATATATTTATGGTTTCATCTAATAAGCCATGTCTGATTAATGTAACAGTGACATAAAGGGCTCTGTACTGGGGACATGCACACATGTAACTCTTCTCATAGCTCTTCTTTCTAGAAAAGGCCTCATAGGGACCTCAGAACATTGGCCTTAGAGTAAGGCAGCCTGAGCTCCTTGGTCACTATGTCTGGAGAGCAGGCAGACCAAGGGGCCTTGTGGTATTATGAATATCGAATGAGAGAGTGTAAGAGTTGAAAGGTGAGCCTAGAAATGATATGTGATAAGCCTTTTATCAAATATTAATATGAAAATGTCTTGTTTTTAACTATCTTAGATGTAAAGAGCACTGTGGGCAAGAAACACATGGTTCTACACTCTTCTATGAGTTCTTATCATTTTAGTTCACTTGTCCCATTTTACGATCTGGCTACTACTAACATCCTTAGTTTACTGACAATGAACTAGGACAGATGAAGGCTAAGGTCTTTGCCCATGGTAGCAGGTACTATACAAGCACTGTGTTACATAGCCAGAATAAACAGACCAATATTACCAATATTTTTGCCATCTCACAATTACCAAAGTTCTTCTTCTTTAAGTCAAATACCTAATATATGCCCTGGCAATTTTTTAAAGGCCACTGGAAACCTAAATTAAAACATGGATCTTTTCTAATCAAATAGTCCTCCATCCACCATGTCTCACAGATGTTTCAAGGTTATATTTAATACTGTGAGTAAAACACTACTGGTTTTTGACACAAAGTGAAAAGATCTTCATGTTACAGCACATGCTAAACAAGATCCTAATTAAGCACACACTGTAGCTGTCAAGTTCATGACTTAACGGCTCGGAATAGGAAGAGGCTGCAAGTTAAATAACTTTAAAGCACAATTTCCAATCAGATGAACCCTTCTGAACAGTTAACTTTCACTTCTCATCTTCACTGAACTTTTTTTTCTTAGCTTTAAATTTGAAATTTAAAATGAGAATTTGTTGACAGATTTAAATGAGAATTATGTATACACAGAAATGAATTACTTTTTATCTACGAAAGAACCTGTAAAATGTCACCATGTGTTATGTTTGCTATACCATGTATTATTGTGTATTTTAATATACAGAAGCATCAAAAGCTACATAGTTAGCTGCGCAGAGGTGTACAGTCATTGGCCTATAAAAGATGCACACGGTTAAATAAATACAAATGCCCTAAGTTCTTTCTTAACAGCAAACTATGTATCTAGGGTAAATGTTGCTTTTATTTCCTCAAATGGAGTGATGAGTGATGCAGCTTGGGCAGAGCATTTCCTTCTCTGTCCTACCTATCCCTTGGCCTAGGCCTGGAAGATTCTATCCTCAGTACAGTCTTCTAGCCTCCATCTGCTAACCTAAGCCTAGAATGTTTCAGCCTCTGAGACTTACTACTAAATAAACTCACCCATTCTAGTTCTTTCTGAACTGTGGCTAGCTGGTTCAACTCAGCATTCCTGGCCCAAACTCCTTTCCAAGTTGAATGAATCAAACTGGTATCTCTCAATGCCTCGCTGAATTGCTCTTTTGCCCTCAAATTAACTCTAGTAATTTGTTCTAATCTTCTGGCTTCTTCTTATCTTGGGCAATCTCTGGCATCTTCACCTGCAACCTATCTCTGTAAAACTGTTTTCTCTCTCTCTCTCTCTCTCTCTCTCTCTCTCTCTCTCTCTCTCTCTCTCTCTCTCTCTCT